CTATATAGTAAGAACAGATCTGGAAAGGATTCTTTTAGAGGAATCTGTTTGTTCCACGCATCTGTCCAAACTTAGTTCTCCTGCCATTTCCCACTTCAATGTACGTATTAGCTTCAAGTTTTTGCCATAAGTTTCTGATAGTTCTCCAGACCCCCACCCCATAGGCATCAACACTAACATTACTGCACCAAGGATTGTACTCACCATACTTGGATCTGATGTCATCCTTCCATAAAGCTTGCCCCTCTTCATTATACCTCCATAACCACTTCATCAAAAGACTATTGTTTTGTTTCCTTAGATCTCTAATACCCATACCTCCTTTGTCTTTGCTTTTCAAGGTTATCTCCCATTTGACTAGGTACGCCTTTACTTTCATCTCATGTTGATGCCTTGCAAGAAATATTATTGAAAAAAGTACCATTAATCCTCTTCTTTGTATGATTCCCTTTTTGAAATATCAGCACACTCACTATGTAGCTTTTCCGGCATTTCTGAGACTGATCTAAGCAGGGAGAAGGGATCTCTCCGATTTCTCTCAAGTCATTCTATTGTTTTTTTTAGATTTTCGAGTTCATGGTTCATTTTGTCAAAGATGGCATTCTGACCAATTTTTAACATGGGTTTTCTTCTCTTACAGAAGGCAGGTAGTGGTGTATACAAACCTGACAATGAGTGGGTGCAGTGTGACAAATGTAGAAAGTGGAGAATGTTGAGCCATGGCTTCAACAGCAAGACTTTACCACTTCAGTGGTAAGAGTCTTATCTGACTTCCCTGGACTTAATTGATAGATGTTACTGTATTATTTCCAAAATTGATAGGTACCCACAGATTTAGATTCTCATGAGAAAATTGATATAGAGATTGCTTTAGTTCTGAAAAATTTACTCCTCTTTCTCATCTCCTAATTATGTTCCCCTTGTAATGTGGTCTTTTATAGAAAATCTAATTTATTGCAAGATGATATTTATTTTGGTTGTGTTCAGTTTTGTCTACTTGTTCACTAGGTCATTATAATAGTTAATTTGTTTTGCTGTTGTTTTTCACTTTTTCTCATGTACAAAAATTTGTCATCATGTTATTTGTGAAAAAGTATTTGCCTCATATTCACTAAATGTTTTGTTCTGTATGTCCTGTTTTGACATTACTATAGGTTCTGTTACATGAAACCTTTTAACGGGGAATGCGAGGTATCAGAGCAGGAAGTTGAACCTGGAGTGATAACGATATCCAGCAAGCGTCTGGGATACATTTCCACTGAAGATCCCGAAGAGATAAAGTGCAAGCTCTCTAGACAAGCTGTGGGGACATCAAAAAGTATGACACTGAAATTGTTCACTTCCTTAGTTATTCTGGTTTGCAGCTAGAAATGAGTGATTATTATATTATGTTGCCATCAGTGTTTTTAGCAGTGAATGACAAACAAAACAAATAATAAAGAAAAAAAATGAAATGCTACTTGCAGTGCTGCAAGTGCCATTTCCTGCGAACAGTGGGTGTAACATTGTATACAGTATAATAGTTAAGCTACTCTTTTTCCTGGTGAGAAGTGCATGTTGAAGTGATTTGTGCTTAATTAGATAAATTTTCCAAGTCTAGGTGAAGCAGCTCGAGGATATATAATTTTAGATGGTCATTTAAGTTCTATTTGTAGGGTTGACCCATGATATTAGTGTTTTGTTTTTAGTTGAAGCCAGTGTCTTGGTGGGGCGTTAGGCTAGAGTCTAGACCCCTACCTCGTATATGAATAGAACATATCAAAATACATGTGTGAGGAGTATGAAGCCTAACCTCCTCAAAAGAGACTAAGGAATTGGACAGACCCAATCGTTTACACTTCAATGCCAGAAACTCAGATTTTGGCTCTACTAGAAGTGTTATACAGATTCCCCTTTTATGATATCTAAGAGATAAAAGATCTCTTTCAGCAGTTCCCTTACAAAAGTTAGCTTCACAAAATGTACAAATCAACATATATCATCAAAATACCAGTTCATGAGGCTTTTTCTTCCTAACACTAAGGCTAGGGATCTTCCTTTTATCCAGTTGTAGTAAACTTCTCATTTGCCTTGTGTGGCTATCAAGAGAGTTAAAGTCTTCTCATTTCCAGAGAGTAAGCTCAAGATAGCAAGTTTGTCAGCCATTTGATTGGCTGGCCTTTCTTAAGGCAGTGGTGAATAACTCAATCTGAATCTGGTAGAGCATTTTGTATATCCTTTGTTTTGTGAGTTGCCATGGGATCTTGAAAACCTCCCTGATGCATTATTGCAAGATATCAATGTTTGTTGAGAAGGTCTGCAGGGCGAAAAATCTGGAATGGATAATTTTCATTAATTTTAGTTTTCTTATGTACATAGTACCAAAGTCCACATCCATTGTCGTTACTTGAAGTAAAGGAAACATATCAACACATGTTTAGGATATTTCATGTTAACGGTTTCAGTTTGCTGGGCTGGAAACAAAGAAACATTCCAGCTCTTTAATAGGGTGCAATTTTTTTATGGTTTTGTTGCCTCTACTTTTGCATTAGACTTGTGTTAACTGGATCGACGTAAATTTTGAGAGCTAAATGAGAATTTATTATTGTAAAGGTTCTGAGGTTAACAGTTCTGAGTGATTGTAATGAGATTTAACTTTCAGTCTGCAGATGTTCCATAAACAGGATAATGCTTGTTAGGTCACATTGTTTCTTTTCTCATATTTTCTGCTTCTGGTTTCTTATGCAGACATGGGTGAGAATGATTCAAGTCATACAATGGATGACGATCAAGCAAAAAACTCATCTGCACAGACACGTAAAAGGCTCCGAAGGAGTTGTAGGAAAAGTTAGTATTATATTGAAACATGCCGTTTCTTCTTGTGCAGGTATCTTTACGTATGTATATGTTGTCAATATGCAGCGGCTTTTTGTTAGTACAATTATATGTTGGGACAGGTGATAGTGAAATATGTGACCGAGCACTTGTCTTGAGTTTTAATTTGAGCAATTTTCACATATAGCAAACATAAAAATCATATTTGTATGCTATAACTATAGTTTGCATAATTGTGCTCTATAGCAAAATTTATGTTTGCTATGGCTATTAATATGTATATTTCGCTATACATATACAAAAGAAGCAATTGTGTAATCTGTTTCGGTATACGTATACAAAAGAATCAATTGTATAATCTGTGTTTGTATAAAGCGAGAAAGAGAGAAAGACAAAAGAAAATTGGGCAGGGGAATATCTGTATTTGTATAATCATAAGTGTATAAGACAAAAATATATGTATTTGTATTTGTATATACAATTTTCTTTCGCTTTATACAAGCACAAATATAATTTATACATTTGTGTTTGTATAAAGTGAGAGGTGAGCGAGAGTGACGAGCGAGATCTGGGAGAAGGGAACGAAAAGATATGTATATATACAATTTTCTTTCGCTTTATACAAATACAAACACATTTTATACATTTGTGTTTGTATAAAGTGAGAAGTGAGGAGAGACTGTCTAGCGAGAGACGAGTGTGGCGAGCGAGAAATTCAGGGAGAAGGGAAATGACAACAATTTGTTATGAGTTACAATTAAATTAAACTGTGGTTATATCATTTAATTTAAATGAATAGTTTGTTATTTTGTACAATTTTTCCTTCTTATTTTCAACTCGTACAAGTAATATTTTGCAAAGAGACGTAGATTTTCACTTATTTGATCAAATCAAATATATACATAATTACTAGTAGCTTTTTCTTTTCCTGTTTCTGTGAAGATAGTAAGGTGAATATCTGTTTTTCTTTTTTGGTAATAGACTGAATGAAAATATATTGTAACAGAAAATGAAAGTGGGATTAAAGGAACAATATTTACTATTCATTAACTCTCACGCTCAAGTAAATTCTCATATATATTTTTTTTTTTGAAGGGGTTAAATTTATCCTGATAGCAACAAGTGTAACAAAACAGTTTATGCTAGGAAACAAAATCATATGAAAAGAGAAAGGGATATGAGATAACCATATCGGTTGTGAGTGACATCAAGTGATTGATATTTTCTCTTTTTTCTCTCTAATCTATCTAGTTCGGTTGAGAAGAGTATTTAAATATGGTAAACTTCCTTAGACAACAAAAACAAAGAGATGCTAAATAAAATGAAAATAAATAGATTTATAAACTTGTATTTTCTCTTTGATTTGAATCTCAAAATAAGGATCAATTCTATAATCACTAAAAGAAATAGTACTAAGACACTTATTAATTATTCGAATTTACATTACTCTAATAACAATATGCCTTGCAATAAGAAAAACTTTGGGAGGTCGAAGAATCACAAAATCAATGAATATTTAAATGGTCAAGTTATTGAATACTACTATATTTCAACATTATTATTGATTAAAGTTAGACAAACGATCAAAGGAATTAAGATTTCTTTGCCATTATAAAATGAATAGATTAAAATAGTTTTTTTCAAATCTCTTATACGGTGATGAAACTAGGACCATAAGCTCAAACATGCTTCCCTCCATTAATGGAGGTTGGGGTCAGCAACAAGAAGGAAAGTAACAGATTCTAGAGAGAAGAATTGAGCGAATGAATAGATTTCGTGTAACAACTTAATCGACTTTTAACTAACTCTAACTAATTCTGTGACTAAATTTAACAAACTAATTAGCCAGTTATTACTTTATTACATTTAAATTAGATAAGTGAAATAAAAGTAATTAATTTTTTTTAACAAAATGATCACATTTTTACCTAAATAGCACAGAAAATGGTTAGGAGTAAAATAAAAAAAATAAATTTATTCTTTACGTTTTTTAACACAATTTTGACCAATTTTGGTTTTATCAAAAATGGGATTTAAATTAATTTATTTCCAATCCGTTTGATTCCGAATGAAACGGTTTTTTCTTTTTCAAAACTATAAATAGAGCACAGTATTACTGGTGGAGTAGTAACAATAAGTGAAAATAAAGCCAAAAAAATCAGTTGAAGAATCAGTTCAAAGCATCAATGGAAAACGTGGGATCACCCTCCGCCTCCGCCGCCGACGATGGTACGCCGGTGCAACCAATCTCCTCCTCGACTCCTCCGGTGCCGTCATTTCCAGCTCCCCTCGGTACTACCGGTGTCCCTCCCGTCAGTCCAACTGAAACGCGGAAACGCGGAAGGTCAAGCCCTGGGATGACTACTCCTTCACCGTCTCAGGTCGCCGGCGGTGGACTTGCGTCTCCTACGCAGCCGCAGGAAGATGGAGCGAGCCCTGGGATGACTACTCCTCCACCGTCTCAGGTCGCCGGCGGTGGACTTTCGTCTCCTACACAGCCGCAGGCAGATGAATCGGCGGTTTCTACTGGGAAAAAGCAGCAAAGTGTTGATTTGGGTAAATTTATATGAAGTGAACTTCTATACTCTGCACATGTCTAATTAAATAACTGTATTTGTTTATTTGTGTTACAACTAGCATTGCTTTACTTTTATTATTAGGGCTTCAATTCTTTATACCAAGACTTAAATATTAGCTACCAGTTTTCTGCTCGATTTGTGTTATTCTTGTTAAGTTTTGCAACTTTAACTAATTTTCTTCTGCAAAATCTTTTTTCCCCTGCACCCAGTTGAATTTTCTTCTGCAAAATGTTGAACAATTGCCTAGCACAAAAGAATGTCTGCTTTATGATCTTTCATACTAGTATAAAGAAGCCATTCTTATTCTTTTTAACCTTTTCCTCTGGTGTGCATGAAAAAGGAGATGCAGTTCATTTTACTGTGTATTTCTTCATTGCAATTTGGAAATTGAATATTAAAGATTTATTTTGCCCTTCCAATTTTCCTGTTAGCATACTTTGATATGATGTTCAACAGAAAACGTCTCATTCCCTCTCTTATGCTATTCACCGAACCTGAATTTGAAATGTAATAGAGTTAAATAGCTGACAATTTGTAATTTGGAGTTAAACAGTCTTGGTATGTTCTTTCTACCAAATCTCAAGTCACTCTTGATATACAACTTGCAGGATCAGAAGCAGCAGCGCTTGGATTTATGCAATCACACGTGATCAAGATAGAAGCTGGGCAGGTGTGGTCTTAATTAATCTCTCTTTTGATCAGCATGTGTTTTGTTCTTTCTCTCGTTCTTTAGTTATCTTATCAGTAGAAACAACGAGAATATAGTATATAATGTTTCTTTATATAGGAAACAATATTTTCTCAATATCTTTCTTTACTTTATTTAATCTGGCATTTTGGCTTCTCAGGATATATTGGCCAAAATAATGTCATTCTGCGAAAGTACCTCTAAAGCAGTGTGCATTCTGTCAGCCAATGGTTCCATATCTAATGTATCACTTCGCCGACCAGATGAACCTGTAACACATAAGGTGTGTATTTCCATGTTAATATTTCTTCTTACAATAGAGAGTGGGTGTGGACATGTATCAAGTTAAGCATGTATTTTGCCTCGTGTGGTCATATATTGATCTACCTTAGATTTTATCATTTATGTCGTAGTATGTAACCCCTCGATCAAATGTATCAAGTGTTTGACACTTTTGGCTGGATATACTTCAGTACCATCACATGCCTCTCTTGGGTCAATAGATTTGATAGTATCACATTCTGATAAAAAAAAAATTGTTGGTTACCTGGTGCAGGGACTGTACGAGATCCTTAGTCTGACGGGTTTCTTCTTTGTCTTGGAATCTGGTGGTCAACGCAGCAGAGAAGGTTGCTTGACTGTGATACTTGGTAATGCAGCAGATGGTGATGTTTGGGGAGGCAATGTGGATGGGCTCTTTACAGCAGCAACTGATGTTCAGGTTTGACATAGAAATTTTTCAAAGATACTGTCCTTATATGTCTGAATTAGCTCTACTTCCATCACCATATTGATTATGCACCCTAAAGCACCATATTCAAATCCCTTACGTTGTTACTTGGTGTAGGTTATTGTTAGTAGCTTCAGCACAGAAAAACAGGGGCAGGTGAAGTCAGACAACTTTGGTACACCAGCAACATTAGCATCAACGTCCAGAAGTCCTATGTCAGTTGGAACTTTATTTGGGTCTGTCAGCCCTGTTAGTCCGCTAGGCTGAAACTAGGAAGAGAAGCCCTCCTGGAGTTGCTGCTAGGTTGCCCTTTTAAAAGGAATGCTTCTCTTGTTGATAATACCATTGGAAAAGCTGTGTGATGCGAGAATGTATTCTGCAGCTTAGCAATTCATGTTGGTTTGATATTGCCCTTATGTTTGAGCAATTGCTGGGCAGTTATCTTTTTTGTACAAATATGACATCCTTTATGCACAGAAACATTAGAGTCTAATTCTAGTTTTACTTCACAGCTTCTTCATTCCTTATTTACTAGTACTAGTATTTCGTTATTCCAGATTAATTGTTTTCGGGAAAAGGCCCAAGAATACCCCTAACCTATTGGAAATGGTTCAAAGATACCCTCCTTCCAACTTTTGGTCTAAAATTACTCCCCATGCACCTTTGTTTTTTGTTCAAAATACCCCTTCTTCAACCTTTTGGTCTAAAACTACCCTCCACCATTTTTAGAATATCATAGAATAAAAAGTCTGTTAATGACCCAGAATACATTTGTACTTATTTTTTACATATTGTAATTTCGTACAGTACAAAATTTCTTCTAGTTTCCTCAATATGTTCAAAACGGGTACTTTAAACCCCCAAGTTCATATGACGCTTACTTGCTTGATGTGAATGACAAATCAGCATCTAAGTCGGATTCATATGACAAAGTAACAATTTAATTTTCACATTATTTTAATATAGTCCTAATTTCGTAAATAAAAAATAAAAAGAGCAAGGTAAAATATAAAATTTCTCTCTAATCTATCTAGTTAAGTCGAGTCGCCTATTTAAACATGGTGAACTTCCTTAGAAAAAATAAAAAACAAAAAGATACTAAATAAAATAAGTAGATTCATAAACCTGCATTTTCTCTTTGATTTGAATCTCAAAATAAGGATCAAACTCCAAAATCACTAAACTTGATAAAAAAATAGATGCAATTTTACCATTAGTGGTCCTTTACAAACCCTTATTTTCATAACATTAAAGTTAAGTTATTGAATGCTACTATATCTCTACATTATTATTGATTAAAGTTAGACGGATGATCAAAGGAATTAAAATTTCTTGGTCATTTGTAAAATGAATATATTAAAATAACTTTTTTAAAATCTCTTATACGGTGATGAAACTAGGAGCATAAGCAACAAGAAGGAAAGTAATAGTTTCTAAAAAGAAGAATTTATGTGCATTGCGCTCTACATTGAATGAGTGAATAGATCTTTTACAACATGATGTATATTCTAATTGTGTAACAACTTAACCGACTTCTAACTAATTTTGTGACTAACTTTAACTAACTAATTAACCAGTTACATTTAAATTAGTTAAGTATAACGAAAGTCATTAAATTTCTTTTTTTAAACAAAATAGCACAGAAAATCGGTAGGAGTAAATAAAAATGATTTTTTATTCTTTATGTTTTTTAACCCAATTTTGGTTTTATCAAAAATGGGATTTAAATGTAATTTATTTCCAATCTGTTTGATTCTGAATAAAACGGTTTTTGTTTTTCAAAACTATAAATAGAGCACAGTACGACTGGTGGAGTAGTGAAAATAGAGCCAAAAAAATCAGTTGAAGAATCAGTTCAAAGCAGGGGCGGCTCAACGTACTTGGAGGCGTAAAGCGAAATTTCAATTAAAGGCCTAAAATCTTTTAGCGAAGGCAATTATTATATAAATTGCTAACATTATTCTATAAGTAATAAGTTGACAAACTGCTTATAAACCTTTTTTTTATTGGTTTAAAAACACATGAAATAAGTCAATCTAAATAGACTTGTAATTCACTTTATCCAAAACATGATTTTTACTATTGATTCATATTTTTGATAGAGCTCTAACTTACATATAGTATAAAATGGGTCTAGAAAATTACAACGCTAGAGTTAGTGAAGAGAATGTAAGAAGACAAAACAACATTTTTCTTGATTTCTTCTATTTGATTGAGGTTAAGGAGAACAAAATAATATACTATTTTTTAAAGAAAAATACATTTGTTTTAGATAATTAATTTTTTCTATAAAAACAATTAACACATAATTTATCGTGGTAAAAATTAGAGGACCCCTAAAATTGGGGGCCTAAGGCATATGCCTAATTTTTATAAGCATTGAGCTGGCACTGGTTCAAAGCATCAATGGAAAACGTGGGATCACCCTCCCCCTCTGCCGCCGACGATGGTACACCGGTGCAACCAATCTCCACCTCGACTCCTCCGATGCCGTCATTTCCAGCTCTCCTAGGCACTACCAGTAGTGGACTTTCGTCTTCTACGGCAGATGTAGCGACTACTCCTTCAACGTCTCAGGTCGTCGGTAGTGGACTTTCGTCTTCTACGGCAGATGTAGTGACTACTCCTTCAACGTCTCAGGTCGCCGGCAGTGGATTTTCGTCTTCTACGACAGATGTAGCGACTACTCCGTCAACGTCTCAGGTCGCCGGCAGTGGACTTTTGTCTTCTACGGCAGATGTAGCGACTACTCCTTCAACGTCTCAGGTCGCCGGCAGTGGACTTTCGTCTTCTACGGCAGATGTAGCGACTACTCCTTCAACTTCTCAGGTCGCCGGCAGTGGATTTTTGTCTTCTACGGAAGATGTAGCGACTACTCTTTCAACGTCTCAGGTCGCCGACAGTGGACTTTCGTCTTCTACGACAGATGTAGCGACTACTCCTTCAACGTCTCAGGTCACCGGCAGTGGACTTTTGTCTTCTACGGCAGATGTAGCGACTACTCCTTCAACATCTCAGGTCGCCGACAGTGGATTTTTGTCTTCTACGGCAGATGTAGCGACTACTCCTTCAACATCTCAGGTCGCCGGCAGTGGATTTTCATTTTCTACGCAGCCGCAGGTAGATGTAGCGACTACTCCTTCACCGTCTAAGGTCGCCGACAGTGGATTTTATCTTCTACGCAGCCGTAGGCAGATGTAGCGACTACTCCTTCACCGTCTAAGGTCGCCGGCAGTGGACTTTCGTCTCCTACGGCAGATGAAGCGACAGTTTCTGATGTGCCTGTGAAAAGGGGTAGGGGAAGACCGCCTGCAAGTACTAAAATATATATGAAGTGAACTTCTATAGTAGCATTGCATGCTTTGCTTTTATTATTAGGGTTACTATTCTTTATACCAAGACTTAAATATTAGCTACCAGTTTTCTGCTCGATTCTTGTTAAGTTTTGCAACTTCAACTAATTTTCTTCAGCAAAATATTTTTTCCCCTGCATCCAGTTGAATTTTCTTCTGTGTTTGTTTATTTGTGTTACAACTAGAATTGCTTTACTTTATTATTAGGACTACAATTGTTTATACCATATGAATATTTCTGCTCGATTTGTGTGATTCTTGTTAAGTTTTCTAATTTTCTTCTGCAAAATCTTTGTTCCCCTGCATCCCGTTGAATTTTCTTCTGCAAAATGTTGAATAATTGCCTGCTTTATGATCTTTCATACTAGTATAAAGAAACCTTTAATTTTCCTCTGATCATGTGCATGGAAACAAGTAGATGCATTTTATTTTACTGTTAGCATACTTTGATATGACGTTCAGCAGAAAATCTGAATTTGGAATTTATTAGAGTTGATAATTTGTAGTTTGGAATTTATTTGAGTTCTTTCTGCCAAATTTCTGATATACAACTTGCAGGATCAAAACCAGCAGAATTTGGACCTATGCAATCGCACGTCATCATGAAAGAAGCTGGGGACGTGTGGTCTTAATTTTATACACATTATCAGTCGACCCATTGAATTCCAAAATTTTAGATTTAAACGGAAGAGAAACATATATATTATTAATCACTGTTTAGATAACAATATTATAACTATGTACCTAGCATTTTTTTGTCGTCCTTATCTGTGCGATTAAAATAATCTATAATAATAATAATAAAAGTGGTCCTACATGTTAAGGATCATTATCAATAGCAAAGAAGGAAACTGATTGTGCAAAGTAAGATAGTCATCAAGATACGTACAGAACAAAATTTATCAAATAATTTATTACAAATGCTCTTGTGTTATAATTTTCTGTAGGAAAAGGATCTTAAAGTCGAGCGTGAAATCAGCACGTTAGTGGTTAAGAGGAAGCTTGTGAAGTTCACAATTGAACAGATCAATTCATTCATTCCTGACAAAAGGGTTGTAGGAGCAGGTAGCTGGGGAACGGTGTATGAAGGGTTCATTGGGGGATTGTCTGGACTTTCCAGTGATTTGAATGGGGAAAGAGTTGCTGTCAAGGTGGGAAACTATTTCTGTGAGGAAAAAGAGTTTTCTACCAATGAGAACTACATTCAGTGGAAGGTAATCCTAAATTCTATCGTGTTTGTTTATGTTCTTCTTTCTTTATATAAACTAATTAGTCTTATCTTTTTTTTAGACTGAGATTATGCTACTGTCTGAGATAAAACATGAGGGTGTCATCAAATTGGTCGGTGTTTGCCGTACCAATTTAGGTTTATACCTGGTTTATCCCTTCTATGAGAGGGGAGATCTCCAGAAAAGCATTGAAGGTAAATTCTTTTAAGTTTTAATATTACTGTGTAAACTGAGTTTATAAAACTACAAATCAATTGTTTTTTTTTTTGAGAACTTGATATTTAAAGCCACATGTGGGGTTGTGTGCTAGATTGGTTCATGGCTTACTCACTTTCATATTACTATAAAATTCCTTCCTTCATGGGGTTGTGTGCTAGATTGGTTCATGGCTTACTCACTTTCATCATTTTTTTCGTATCATATCCCAACTACGTTTAGTAATTAGATCACACTCTTGATTATATTAGGAGTTTTCCATTTCCACCTAATTGATCAAAAGTTGTCAGTAGATGGACTATTGTACACAGATAATTTTCCTTGTTAATACAATACAGATGCTTCTTTTCAAATAATAAGTTTGGTTTGTTCTCTTCTTTCATATCGCCTAAACCTGTCTCATTTTACAATTTTAGATTGGGAGAGAGCATTAAATGTTATCACGAAAGTTGCTGAGGCACTCAGGGTGTTGCATATGTGTATGGTCGTATGCAGGGGCTTGAAGCCCGCTGACATATTGTTGGATCAAAACTAGAACCCTGTATTGACAGATTTTGGGCGAATGAAGATGTATAGAGATGCTTTAAGTGGATCTCGTACATTCGATAATGAAAACTTCATCTTTTCAGGTATTGAGAATAAGATTTTTCATTGTTTAGCAAAAAAATTTCAGAATTCAGTTTCATTCTATACAATTCAATTATTTAATAGGCTGTT